TAAGTGACTGAGAAAAGAAGAGAAAAGTGGACAATGGAAACTGCAATTAACTATACAAAAAGTTAACGAAACTTGACTTTCTTGTAGCCGAATAACTCAATAACACAGTATACGAAAACACAAAAACAAATCTTAAAAAACGAAATGCAATAGGACAGAACACAATAAGGAAAAAAATAAACACAAAACATAGAATACAAAAATAAATAGTATTAAAATCTTAAATATAATACACACTAACCATATAACCTGCACAAAACACAAGCCCCTTATATTTTTACAGGGAATATGTTTCGGCGTAAAGCAAAAAATAACTACCTAAAAACCAACTAATAGAAATACAAGAAAAAGAGAAATTAACTTTCTAAAGCATCCAAAATAATTTACCTACCTTATTAAGTAAATTACAACTAAAGAAGTAAATTTTATAAACCATTCTGGTACAACTAATTTTATTATACAAATATGGAAACAGTTTTTTGACCTTCTGTGAAGGTATAAATACACATTAAAAACCGGCAATAATAGTATTCTTTGCTTTAAAAATTTTTTATATCTTTTATTCCATGTATTTTGTCAGATACCCCTTCATTAATTTACTGAGTTACGCATACCATTATAGATATTTATATTTAATAAACTCATGTTTTTAAAATACCTTTATAATTTACATTTTTATACAAATTTTGATGCCGACTAAGTGCATTTATACACATTAGTGAGAAGTAAATAACTAATAACCGGGCTAAAAATAGAGACACAAAGCTTAGATTAGGTGATTCTAAAATCGTGTATTACAGTAACAGAGAACGTAATGAGACCTCCCAATTGTAACGTTATCTTTTATGTAATATTTTGATTTTTTTTTATTTTCTACCCATTTTGTTGCATTTTCACCTTCATACTTGGAATAACTTGAACTTTAATGATTACGATAAAATTTAAAACTGAGATGACTGTATTAAGGCCGGGGCAATTTACTCGCACTTAAAAAAGCTTATACATATCAAAAACAAAGTCTTAACAGTGATAATATTAGGCACCTATCATTATGTTATTAATATACTATTTTATTTAAAACATTTTATACTTGTCTAAATTTTTTTAAAGATCCTTTAGTAATATTTAGAGGTGAAAAATAAATTACTGGACAAAATTTCTGTAAGAAGGCTAGCGAGCTAAAATAAAAATAGTTAGGTTTTTGAGAAATGTCGAGTGTTAGTATTAAGACAAGCAGACAGAGTCGAGGGCCCTCACCTCTTAAATAATGTTATAAATGGAAAGAACGTACGGAATAAGCTAGATTATTATTTCATTAATTTATTAAAAGATTGGCCATCCACGAATAGTAAATTCTTACCTTCTACCCGATAGAGTCGAAAAAAGTAATATTTTTTAATTTTTTCTTATGATTCTCAGTTAACTTCCTACATAAAAAAAGCTTTCAATGAACTTTATATATAAATTAATACTCATGATGTTTAATGGGTGTTGTGAGCACTAAACTTATTTATATCTTATAGTCCCACGGCAGCGTAAAATTTAACACAGAAGATGTGTCTCCACTTAATCAGCACTAAGTTTGTAATTGGAAGTAGCCTTCCATTCTAAGACTTTCAATGAAGTCATGTAAAACTTCCTGGTAATTATTAAAACACAAGCCGTGACACCGGTGAATTTTACTGCCAATGCGGAAAAGATAGCTCAACATTAACATCCTCGACAGTAAAGACAGAAAATAGCATAAGTCACAGCCTGTTGCTTTACAACAAATAGGCGAGATTTTTCAGTTGGCATCTTCTCTTGAAAAAACTTCCTTTTGAAGAGCAATGTCTCTCGTAAATTGCGTCCTCTTCATTTTTTTTAGGTAAAATGTCTATGACGTACAACACAAGAAAGAAAAGAGGCTCAAACTACCGCAGCAAAAAGATGGAATCGTGCTCTCCATTTATAAGGCTTACCGCTTTAGTTACCTGGACGTACGCTACGGTAGCTTAGATAACTTAGGGAGGGTGATGCTACTGGCACCTGAGCCTTAAAAACGGGGAGACTCTGGAAAATTCGCAACGCATGGGCTGGCAGTTGCTCGACCAACACAGAAAAATTCAACCCCTATTGTATTAGAGAATGTTAAGTGTTAACTCCTGCTTAGCACAGCCGGATGCACATGTCAGAGACGAACACGGGACATTATAGAACAAATGTGCTGGCAGGAGAAAGCACGTTTTCTCGGTTCTACTGTTTATAGCAATGCCCTTTAAGTGGTAATTCAAATCATAACGAATTTTTTAGTAACTCTCCTTATCTGCTTCCTTGTTCTCTTGTCCACTAGACGACGCAGTCAAAACGTGAATGTTACTTGGCGGCTATGATAATTAATTTTGGGGAATTATATACTTTAGCCTGTCTACAGGATATTTAGGAATCTTTTTTACAAGTGCAATTGCACAATTGCCTGGCTAATGCAACGCAAATTGCTAAAAATAATTAAAGCGGGACAGTCGCCATAGACACAGGTTAAGGTCGCTCTTCATAATGGTTTCTAAAAGACGATACTGCCTTTTGGCTATTCGCCTGGTTTAATCATCAATGGTTATTACACGCACGCCATGGCTTAAACAGACTCTAGAAAGGCAGCACATTTTGCCGACCAAATTGTTATGTTCTGAGTTACTTAGATAAAAAAGAGTCTTCCTAAAGATTTTACTAACCAAAAGTTTAACAAAATGTGCGTAACTCTCTTATGTTTTAATGCATTTAAAAGATGTCTCCGTGTTTATAAATTGAAATATTCCTATCACAGTGGGGGAAACTTGCCTCTTTAGCTATCATTGAAGTGACAGATTTGAATTGACATTAGAGTCTAATTTCTGTAGACAAGGTCGTATTGGTAGTAAGCCTCGATCTTCTGCAATGCGAAAGAGTGTCATTAACCAAGTAATCACGTACAGTTACGAATCAATTTTGTAGCTAAAGTTTAGACTATCTCGCTATGATTAAGAGAAACATAAATTAAATAAACATCAATAATAATGAAATGATTTCATTTCTTGCTTCTTTCCCTTTTAACAAGAGGAGGTAATCTACTCGTTTATCAAGCTATTTTGGCTTACTACATCATTACTTGGAGGTCGTTAAAGTTATTTAAGGTTTAGGACTAGTACACATGATTATCGAAGGACGCGCATAATTGCTGGAAAATAATCACTTGACTACTAAAGTCTACAGCGAACTACTCAGCATGTTGCTTTTACAGGTCTCCGAAAGGTTCGAGGACCAGATTTAACCAGGTTAATAAGCCAAGTTAGTTTAGTTACATCTATACAACTGTTTTTAGTTCTAACTGGATTGTAAGTGAACTAGGTGAGGAAGGAACTAGAGTATAACTCTTACAAGTAATTTTAGCTAATATAAACCGAGGCCTACCAAAGAGGACAAGTACGCCAAAATAAACTGTTAAAATAAGAGTACCTCTTACAAAGCTGCAATTAATTGATATCAACATAATTCCCAAGCAGCCTCGAGCTTACCTTTTATAAGTTAATCCCTCCTCAGCTCGGTGGTTGTTTATTTCTCTAATAAAAATAATGCTACGAGCTATCATCTACCTAACTTTATTCAACTCTAGCTGAAATAGTGCTCCACTTCTTTCCCAAGCTGACTTTAATTAAGCTTGGTTTCAATCCTTCCCTCCAATGTTGTACCCTCCACGATGCTGTGTCCTTTCACGAAGGTCTCTAAACTTTGGAAGAGTTATTTTGAAATCTCTTGTTTGACTGCCAGTTTACGCTTTTATAAGGTGTGATGTTTGTTCACTGAAACTATCTAATTTATCTAACAAAGTAAAATAGAATTATTTAGCCCGTAAACTATATAATATATACTATTAACCTCACTAGCCCAGCGGCGATACTAAAGCCGAGGTGGGGCCACTTATACCACCACGCGCTTCAAGAAATAAATTTTTTACACTGTTGCAACCTGCAACGGCGTTAGTTTATACACATAGTTTTTAATTTAGCCCTCACTTAGAAGTAGGCATCTACTAATTACAAATGGTGCTAAAAATCGGCAACTTTAAAGGTCTTTTTCGCTCAATACCTTTTGCTAGGCGCAGTTGCTTTCAAAAAGTTCTCATTTCCCCCTTATATAAATCATTAGACACGAGCAAATTTATAAAAAAAAACTATTCTACTACACATAGTAACGTCAAGAGCCTCTCAGTTATTAATGAATTAAAGTCATTGGATACAATTGAAAAATTTCCAGATGTAAGATACTCTGGCACTTCCTCGGATTACCTTAGTTACTTCAAAATTTATTACAAGATTTGCTTTTATTTAAAAAATAACTGGACCTCGCTTACCACCGAAGAAAACCTTTTTTTAAAAGGTTATATGAGCAGAGAAACTTCCCAAGAGAAGTTCAAGCCTTTGACTAGTTCATCCCCGGAAGAATACTGGAAAGTCTTTTACTATAAATTTTTAAAGTTATTTCAAGATTTAACTTGTAAGAACGTTCCTATTACGCCGGAGATATATGATTCGTTGATATTGAGTACGTACTTAAATATAAGTTATGGTGTTTTATTTTTTCATTCTAGATTTGTTTAATGTTTGAACTTTCCAGATTTTATAAGTTACCTTTAAAACTTATAATTTTGACTTACAAAAAAAAATTTCAATTTTTTAACTGTAGAAATAATTCAATAGATTTATTAAGGTTAAGTAAAAATTTATATTTTAGTGATTTATGTCTAAGAAAAGGTCAAATATTTTATTCAAAATTAATTTTATACTTTAAATCTTTTAGCGATTTGAATATCCCCTTTTTTTTATTTCGAAAGAATTGATTTACTTGAAACCTATTTTATTAAGTTTTACAGAATTAATTGTTTTTTTTTAAACAATTGTCTTGCCTAATTATGTACTTAGTGAAAGTAATATTTAATATAAAGTAAAAAAAAAAATTAATTATGACAATAGAATGCTCTTCTCTTGGGGATTACGCTCAAGCCCAAACTTTTATAACTCAGCGTTATACTTATAAGAGCCCTCTTTCAGCAACTACTCGCGGGATTATTATCGAGTTATTAACTTCTCTTTATGTTAACTTTGCGAATATTTATTGGATATTATAGTTTTTATCTCCTTCAAAACAAACTGGACGAAGCCTTAAGTACACTTAAAAGTTATAGTCACGATAATGCTGTGCGTCAGCTTCATATAGGTTTATTTAGAATTTTTTCTATCAATTTTGTGATTTATTTTCTTTGTACAAAATATTTTTAGCAGTATTTTTGGTAAGAAGCTTAATTTGTTTATATAATCATGTATTCTGATCTTATTACTATATATTATGTTCAGGAACGTTTGCTCGCGTAATGCGTGAATTAGTTAAAAATAATAGACCTTTTGAAGCTCTTGAGCTTTATAAAATGCTGAAAGAGGATGATATATCAACCCCTAAAAAAGCAATTTCTTTTGTGAATTCATTAAAAAAGTTGGATAGTTTCTGTTTTAGATTATAAACTAATTTCACTTTTATATTTTACTATATTTTGCGTTTACGGTTATAGTTCTTATTTATAACGTTTACTTTATATATACATAATGTTAAGAGTTTTAGTACATTTTTAAAAAATATGGCACTTTTAAAAATTTACAAATATTATTGTGGCTCAGCCCCACAAAACTTGCGCACTTCATTTCGTGCCAAATAATATGTATAAGTATTGCTCTTTTAACAAGTATTTAATTTTTCTCTTTTATTGCTTGCGAGAATGTTTTAAAAAATAAATAGTACATCTATTAATAACCACAGGAATTTCTTAGTAAGGTTTTGCAGGTCGGGCCTTAGTATAATTAAGTATCACAATAAAGTGGAGATTAATAAACATATTAAAAAATAAAAATAATAATTTATTAATATTATACGTGTACGTAAAAATAATAAATATATATATAAAAATATAATATATATTGATACATATAAGTTTTTTTTTTATAAATGATGAATATTAAAAAAGCTTTTGCTTATAAACTCTTATTGTTACCAGACTAAAATATTAACTAATATATTAGAGAAGTATATAAACATAACATAATTTAAATATGTATTGATATTTTTAGACTAAAAATAATATTATAATAAGTTTTTTATTGAAAAGTTCTGTATCTTTTGTATATCTACTTGTTATTAAAGCAAAAATATGTTTTTTTTTTTAATTCTTATTGCGGTGAATTTTATAAGTTTGTTATGTACTGAACTTTATAAGTAACGTTTTATTATTACTATTATTTTTATATATTATTATTGTATTATTACTTCTAACGTGTTAACTTTCTTGTTTTAGTCTTCTCTCACTTGTTCCTTTAATAACTGTAGCGTATTTTTATTATATATATATTTTTATTTGTTTCGTTGAATTTTATTTGCTTGCCCAGACCTTATCCAAGCGAAGGAGTCCTTTTGGTTGCTATCAAGGCTTTTTTTGCAATAGATAACTTGTCAGGTAACCTTTAACTGTTTTGTTAAACATTAATCGTGGAAGAGTTTTTACTTTGCGTGCGATTATTATTTTAATATACATTATTAGGTTAAAAACCAAATATTATAATTAAAAATAATTTCATGCGTATATCATGTTTCAACTAAAAACATTTTTTATTAATTATTAATAAATACTAAATTTACGATGTTTAAAATTATTTATTAATATAAAATTAAAATAATAAAGTGTGAAGCAAATACACTTGCACCAACAAATTATTTAGGAATCAATTATATAAATAAATTTTTATATATTTTCTATTTTTTTAATTACATTTTTTTCCCTCTGCTTTATATATATTTTTTTCTTCTGACTTCTTACAACTTTCTTGTTTTATATATTTACAAGCTTGAAATTATTAAGACCTCCTTTAAACTTTTCTTTATGACATTCACGATTTTTTCTTCGTCTACTTTTCATAAACATTTTGTCACAATATTTCTATTTATCAATAAAGTTACTCCACTTTTTACACTTAGCATGGTCGCTGCCTGGACTTTAGAGTTTTTTATTATTAGAAGCATTATTAAAAATGTTATAAACAAATTAATGCTCATGACAGGCGTATTAGAGGCTCTCGTTGCTCGAATAAGAGATCCTACTGAGAAGGCTTCTAAGCCGCATTTATGCATAAAATGGCTTAACGTGCTATCTACCGGCTACTTCTCACTTGGATACTATTCCTCGGCTTTACGGCTTTACCAACACTTCTTTGAGTCACTTACTAAAAAACGCCTTGTCAATTTTCCGTTGGTTGAGAATAAGCATGACAATGATGTTTAAACCTATTATTATTACCCTTTTTTATAAATAAACTAATACTATTTATTAGATTGTAGACAAAATTGAGAAACTTATAAAGAAGCGTTTTAATATTACTGGGAAAATAGCATCGGTTACTGTATTTAATACATTTATGAACGGCTGCTTCAGTAATATGAAATTAGAGGATGCATTGTTTTTCTATAATGAAATGAAGAGACTTCAAGTATTCAATAATTTTTAATATTTTAAATAATATTATTTAAAACAATTTAAAAAAATTAAATTTTTTTTAGTTTACTTAAATGTTAGTGAAATTCTATAACATTACTTAGATAATAATTATTTTATATAAATAAATTTGAATATTTTATGTTAAAGTTTTTACATGTTAATATTTATAATCATTTGAACAATTTATAAATTATTTTGGATTTTAATTTTTGTTTCCTTATATACCCCTCAAAATTTTTACATAAGATATATATACATTTAAGTAATATGAAAATTATTATGAAGAGGTTTATATTATTTTTTGAAAAAACCACTAATGTATGCATTTTTATTAAGATTATTAATTACTATTATTAAAATTTTTTTAGTAAAAAATAAAAATAATTGAAATCTTAATAATTTCACAGTATACGTATTTAAAAGTTTGTACGTATTAATTATGGAAACTTTTTTATAAGTATGTGTTAAAAATTATATAATTGTTATAAAATAAACTAAAGTTAAGAAATTAGAAAGGTGTTAAACATTTTCTTATTTGTTGACAAGTAAAAAAATGCAATTTTAATAAAAAAATATTAAGGAAAAAAAATTATATGAAATATATATTATAATAACGTTGATATTATATTTTTTTAAAATTAAATAACAGCTTTATTAAAATCTAAAATAAAATTATATATAAATATTTTATTGTTATTGCAGACAATAATTATATAGCTCTTCATTTATTAACAAGTTAGCATATTATAAAAAGTATAAAGCAAAAATTATTTAAATTATATTAATAACTATCGATTTTTTAAAATTTTATATACAAACATTAATTTTATTAATAATAATTTAGTAAAATATAAAGTAATATTTGTTTTAGTAAAAATTGATCATAATTTTTTAAAGGTTATTATTGAATTTATTAATAGAATAAAAGTAATGTTGAAATGTTATTGTTGAGAACGTTATTTTAAGTAATGGTATATACTATATTTATATGAACCCCCCGAATATATATGACAAAAAATATTTTAGTGGAAGGTTTATGTAGGAATACAGTATAAGTGCAATTCTTTATTTACGGTATAACCTATATACTGTGCCCCAAAACTTTAGAAATTATAACTTCCGCTTGCAAAACACGAAAATTTTTTTATGATAGTTTTTTTTATTATTATTCTTTCGATGTTAAATTTTAAAATTTATTTTTTTAATTATTATTATATAAAAAATTTCTCTCTTTACCTGATTAACAATTTTATTTTGAAGATTATAAACATTTTGGGTACTTTTAAATTTTATTATCATAATGAGAGCTAGTCGTCCAAAAGGACATGCGTATTAATTAGTAAAGCGTGCTTGTTATCTACAGAAAGTAAGGGATTTGTATTGCTATTAAAAAAATTTTCACTTAAAGTATTAGTGTTACTAAGTTATAGAATCTTAAAAACTAAATTTTTTTGAAGGTCATTGATAGTTTCTAGTAAAATTTAATACTTGAAATAATTTGTTATACCTTAAGCTTACTTAATTTTTTTTTACAAAAAAAAATTAAAAAGTTATCCTGTATAGTAAAAAAAAAATTATATTAGTATGTAGAAAAAAATACATGAGAGTATCTAATAAGATATGGTAAGTGCGTTATAGTAACAATATCAATCAACGAATTTCTTAATTTTATTTATATAAAATATAAAATTTTGTAACCATTATATAATTTATTATAATCAAGAAATTAATATTAATATGAATTTAATCTTTAATTAAAGCGCGTTTAACACTTGAATTAGATCTTAATAAATATTAATTTCGATAATTTATGAAATAATTTGTTTGATTTTATAGTTCTGGTATAACAACTTAATAAAATTACATTGTAACAAATAATAGTGTAAAAATATAAACTAATAATAATATAATACTTTAGATACAAAATTTAATGCAAAATTATTACTAACTATTAATATACTAAATTATTAAAATTTACTCTAATAGAATAGTATACAATAAAATTATTCAGTTTAACCTACATGACAGTGTTACCCTAGTACTAACCACATAATCTAAGGTTGGATAATTTAGATTATTACGACTTGAGTTAAATATATTCTCTCAAGATTTTAAAGATATTGTATATATTTTATTTGTAAAATTTTGTTTATTTGGGAATTATAATTTTTTTTATAATTATTTACCCTCAAATTAACTAAATTAAAATTATTTTATTTAAAAAACTAAGTGATACACATTAATTTTTATATAGCTATAGTAAAGCCATATATATTATATTCTTAGAAGAATACTTTTAATAATTTTTTGTATAATTGGTAATAATTTTATTCTGCAAACTAAATTTAAAATTATTTCATTTAATAAACTAAATGTTTCACGTACCAGTTTTATATAGCTATAAGAAAACTCTTTAGTAAAACCATATACAATCTTAGAAGATTACCTCTGCTGTTTTATAATTAATAATAATTAACTTTTCTGCAAGCTTAAGGATTGATGATTTACTACTACTTTGCAGCTTCAGCCCGACGAAGCCTCTTATAAAATTCTTATCGAAGGCTATATATTATTTGGACATCTTAATTCCGCTTTGGAGGTTTTCTTAATAATGAAAGAAAATAGATTTAAGATATATACAATAACGTACAAGGTATGCAATTTAGTACATATTAAGAAGAAATTTACAGTTTTATTGTATTTCTATTATATATTACAGTTGATACTTGAAGCACTTCTTGTAAATTCAGAAAATTTTCAGCGTCTCACATTATTTAATTCTGTTGAGCCAAAAAATGTTAAGAAAAAAGTTATAAACTTTGTTATAAATTGTTTAAGCGAAATTAAGCATCTCGAAGATCATAAAGAACTTATTAATGATATACTTTTTTTTCTCAACCGCGAAGACTTTTTACTTGCCGCTGAAAAAATAAAATTTATACCTC